CCTTTTGCTCTTTCTAATTTTTTAAAATTTAAAAAATTTTCAATTACAGTTAACATTAAGTTTTATATTAGTTTCAGGTATACAGAATAGTGGTTAGACATTTATATAACTTATGAAGTGATCCCCCCTGCAAGTCTAATACTCATCTAAAAGCATAGCTTTGCTGAGTAGAGTAATCTTGGTTGTACATCCTTGCTTTTCAGCACTTTGAATATTTTGTGCCAGTCCTTTATGGCCTGCAGAGTTTCTGTTGAGAAATCAGTTGACAGTCTTACGAGAGCTTCCTTATACATAACTAACCGCTTTTTTCTTACTGCTTTGTCTTTAACCTTTGGCATTTTAATTATGATGTGTCTTGGTGTGGGCCTCTTTGGTTCAGTGGTGCAAACTCCCTGGTCACCTAAGCTGGGTGCTCCAGGGTGTTCTTGTGTGGTTGTATGTGCCTTCCTGTTGTACTTGTGCCTTGATTGCTGTTGATACATCAGTGGCTGGGATTGACACTCAGGCTTACTGGGTGCGAGGACTGGCTGTGACTGTAGCTGACAAGCAGGTGTGCAGGGGCTGACTCCATGGAGTAGATTAACTTTAGCAGGACTCTAGTGCCTGAGGAGTCTATCCTTTGGGCATGTCCTTTGTGGAGCTCAGTGGGTGGTGCTCTGAAGCCAGCCACTAGGTATGTTGGCTCTGAGGCTTCTTGGGAGGGGCTTCCATGCAGGCCCTGGTCAGCTGCTGCCTGTGCTGAGCTCCTAGCCACCTGCTAGGAGCTACAAAATGATCTGAGGTTGATAGCTGCTTGTACTGGGCTTGGAGGTACCTGGGACAGGCCATGCTGTGAACCAAGGTCAGCTGCCTCTAGTGCTGGGCTTGGGCTGCTGAGCAAGAAGTACAGGGCACCCCAAGGCCAGCTGCTGCTGCCTTGGGCTTTGTGGACCTTTCAGAGATTTTAGGGAAGTCCAGAGCATGGGCCAAAGCCAGCCTCTTGTTTATAACAGCCACTGAACTGGCCTGTGCGCTAGTTGAGTTGGGTGGGTTCTCAGGGAATCACCAGGATGGGATGAATTTGATGGAGACACAGATTTGGCTCCAGCCTGTGCCTGCCAGCTGGGTTGTGAGAGGGCTCAGCAAAGGAACAAAATGGGAGAGAGCTGTTCCTCCAGCCCTGCCCTGAAGCCAGACAGTTCAGTTCTTCCTCAGATGTCCCTGGCACTTTCCAGCTGTTGCCCAGTGCTGGAGCCCACATTGAGTACCCCTGTCGCCAGTAAGTCTTGCTTGGGCCCTGTAAGGGCAGCCCCTGGGACTCCATCGGCCCTCCCTTTCATTGTGACGGGATCCCCACTGATTTTCACAGCCAGATGTTGTGGGGACTTCCCAGCCCTGGGACCCTGGGCTGGAGAGCTTGGCATAGGTCTGGGAACTCTGACTTCTCAGGGGGCACAACCTCTGTAGCCCAGATATCCCTCCTGATTTTTAATGCTATACGTGGTGTGGGACCCACACTATCCTCCGGGGCCCTGGCCCTCCTTTCAGTCTTGATGTGACTGCTTCTTTATATCCTTAGTTATAGGACTTCTGTTCAGCTATCAGGTGACCCTCAAAGTTGGCTGTTCTATAATGTAGCTGTAATTTTGATGTGGTCGTGGGAGGAGGTGCTCGCAGCATTTTCCTACCCTAGGATCTTGACTGGAGGTCCCCTCCCTGCTTCTTTGTCACTTTCTGTTTTTACTACATAGGAATTATTAGAGCTAAATATAATTACTGAAGTTTTTTGTTTTGAAGCCAGAAAATACTTAATGGGATCAGTAATTAGGTTTAGGGATTTTAATAGAACTTTATATTTAAGAAACACTTAGCTGAAATTTAACTATATACATGTATCTTAAATATAATCTTATATTTTGGGGCAGAATCTCTCAAATTTAAATGTAATTTGTTATAGCATTATTTTGGGAGTTTAATGCATAAAATCAGCCATGTTCAACACATCTATTATAATCTGAAACTATTCAGAAGTGTTTTATCAAGTTGATATTTTAATCTCACAGAATATGTATATTTTTATAAGGTAACATTGTTTTATGTAGAAGTTTTATTGAATTTTAACCTCAACTAACGAGTACATATAATAAAAAGAAGGTAAATACTAATTTCAAATTTACTTTTTTTTCAAATTAATATTTCAAATTTGAAGTACTAATTTCAAATTTATATACACCTCTTAATGGGGTAAGATTTGCTTTTAGTTGTTTTTCCAGTAGAGATAATGAGCTTACACTAATCCTTGTACGTTCTTCCACTGGGAAGCACAGGGCATTGTGGCTAACCAAGGTTAAGAATGCTAATAATTCCAGTAAATTACTAACTTGGAATTAGGCAGATGAAGGAAGTCTGAATTTCAGTTCTGAAATGGAGAAAAACATAAAGCTGTTTTTTGATTTGCAACCAAGAGTACTGGGGGTAATTGTTTTTAATAGCATCTTCCCTAAATCACTTTATCAACTCCGTGGATGAAGCATAAAATAGAGCTTGCTTTTTTCTGGTGGTCATATGTATATTAAAATAAACATACACTTTTTAGATTACTGCCTTTACATTCTTATTCCTTCTTTGAAAGTATAAGTGTAATTAATATTAAATATACAGTTGTCTACAATCCCATTTGATTAATAAAGATTGAAGTTATTTTATTCCAGATAGTGTTTCCATACCTTATTTTAAAAAATCAGTGCCCAGATCTGAAGATTTGTAGGTTTTGAAATATTTCTTGTTATTTCCTAAGTCTGTTCCACTGTCTTTTGACTCTTTCTCTAATCCCCTCCTAAGCTAAGATAGTTAATTTTTCTTTCCTCTTTTCCCACAAGATTCTGAACTACCGTGGAGCCTTTGAGATATTTTTTCTTATGTCGGTCTCCTGCAGTTCTTTTGCAATCTAGAATTTGTTGCTGTGCTGAATATATGAAAAATATGTTAAAGTTATAATGCTCTGTATCCATTGGGGAGGTTATGTTTAGATGTGCATTTTAAAATATTTTCTTTCTATATATATATATAAATACAAGTAACAATACTGAAAGATGGACTGATATAAATAGCTTTGTAATAATTAAGAGTTATCTTAGCCAGGGTATATATCCTAAAATGTCAAAGTAGTGATTATACATGGACAACCTTTATTTAGATGATTTTGCTTCTAATCAGAGTAGTAACCTAGTCTTTTTTTCAGAATTTCTTGCAAATTTGTGGAAATATGGCTAATTACCATTGGAGGGTGGTTCTTGTTTGTCTAATGGTTAAAATATACTGGGGTAGAGGTAACTCTTTTAGTATCATAACTATTTGAGAAAGTCAAAGCAGTAAGACAGTTTTGGAGAAAAGTGAGAGGTTAGAGGAGTGCAGGTTCTTAATATGATGAATTTGTAGCTTTGTTGAAAAGTAAGGGTCATCTGGATGTGGTGATGGCTGGCAATTTAGTTGTTTAAATCAAGGGAATGCATGGTTTTAAATGTTTATGATTGAAAGTCCACTTATGAGAGGTTTGAACACCATTACAGTGTTTGAATGCAGGGTGTGAGGAATTATGATTTATTTCTATTATCCCTTTCATTGTTTATTTTTTTTGATGAAAGTAATAGAATTCAGGTCTGATTCTAATTGGACACCTTTTGATTGAATGCCTTGTGAGCCTGTGTGACTTGCATAGAGACCTCAGTGATCTGCTCGCTTTCTTCAGCACTTTTATTTACTGTCTAACCTGTTTTGCAGTATTTGTTGGATGGCTGTCTCCCATCCAGAGTCAGAGTTCCAGGTGTTTTGTTTCTGTTTCTTCTTTCTTTTTTGATGTTTGCCTGCTTGGCTGGTTTTCCATATTAATTATAAAAGTGAATTTTGTTCCTGTTGAATTTTAAAACTTTTGTAGAAAACGTTATTTACCAGAACTTGTGTGAAAGACATCTTCTAGGGTATTTTCGCGAAATTGAAACGCCTGAGTTTTAGGGTGAGGATGTCAGTCATCACCTGTGGAACAGCTGAGCAGAGTTGAGAGATCTGTGACCCTGAGGGGCTCCGCCATCACAGTAAAGGATTGATGAGATTATGCAAATGACCTAGTTATTATTATACACCTCTTAATGGGGCAAGATTTGCTTTTAGTTGTTTTTCCAGTAGAGCTAATGAGCTTGCACTAATCCTTCTACGTTCCTCCACTGGGAAGCAAGGTTAAGAATGCTATTGCTGCCCACATTACCATAATGTCATTGGTGTCCTTATAGAAATGGATGCCTTTGTTTTTATTTTGTTATCAGAATTCTCTGTCTAACAGAGCCAACTAGTTTCAGGAAAGGAGAGGGCCTCAGTTCTGTTACTATTAGTTTTAAGATGGAATCCTGTTACTCTCTGGGAATGTTACATATTCTTATTTTTCTATGGAATATTTGTATAACAAATACTGAATTACTTGGACCTCTTGAAGGGGATAAAAGATATGGAAGCTCAATGCATGGAAGGATGAGCCAGTAATCACAGCAGCTCTGCCTTGGGGACCACTTGCCTGTGCCGGTGCTGTGCAGGCACGTCAAGTAGATGACTTTCAGCCCAGCATCTTATATCCACTTTACATTTTAAAAACCTTTTTGTTTCAAAGTGTTTTTCAGTTTTGCCCAGAATTGTACAAAACAAATAAACTGTCATCAGAGACTCTTATCTACCTCCACCCCCACACCAAATGTTCTTGCTTGTCCAGAGCCCGGGGTTTCCATGGAATCTCAGGGATCTCCCGAGTTTTAGCCAGGAGAGCCCGATAGCGCAGAGGAAGGGGCTTAGGAAACCGCTGCATGGCTGGGCATTTAACTGAGTGCAAATCTCATGGTTCAGAGATCACCCTCTCTCATTTTAAGTAGTTCCATTTGTTTTTGAATCTGTTTGTTTATTTTTTTGGTTTTTGAATTATGCATTGAATTTCATGTAATACCTTGTGGAAGAAAATGGCTTGTTGATACAGTTTAGTTTAAAAATCACTATTCCATACCTAGTAGTTTGGTTCCCCAATTCTGCCACGTGGTGAAATGCGGGCAATGTAGTGAACTTCTCATAAAAATAAATTTATTTTTTTGGTGAATTCTTGAATAGGTCTATTTTGTTTTTGTATTTGGGCATGAGTGTTTTTTTAAGTCCTGCAGTGGTTGTATATATGAATATTTATTTTAAGGTCCTTGTTTGTGTAAAGTTTTGACAACCCTTTCTCAGTCAGTCTCCAATTTTACTTTTGAAATTTTATCAATTCAGAGGTGTATAGCTCTGGCTGGTGTGGCTCAGTTGGTTGGAGCTTCATCCAGTACGCCGAAAAGTCCCGAGTTTGATTCCAGGTCATCCCGGTCAGGGCACATACTCAGGTTGCAGGTTTGAACCTGATGAAGTGTGTCCAGGAGGCAACTGATTGATGTTTCTTTCTCACATCGATGTTTCTCTCTCTCCCACTCCCTTCTTCTCTCTCTAAAATCAATGCAACACATATCCTCGGGTGAGGATTAAAAAAATACATATATATAAATAAACACACACACATATAAAGGTTTGGGAAAACAATCTGGAACTGAAAGCACTCTGGGAATGGCTGTATCTCTTCTGCGGTGCTAACCTGTGTGCCCTGCAGTGGTTCTTAACTGTTTGATTTGTCTCCCAAGTACCTGAGGAATTCCGCACATTCCAGTCCATGAAGGCAGCCCACTCAGGCAGTTCCTTTCCTTTGAATCAGCCCAGGGGATGCCAGCCATGCCCCACCTTTGACCCTGAGTGAGAGTCAGTGCTTCAGAGAATTAGGGACCTAAGGACTCAACATGATCAAGAGCTGCTTCTGAATGTGTCTGTGATCATGGGGGTTGTAGAAAGCACAGTTCTCATGGTTTGCACTCTACTTGCCTTGCCATCTTTAAGAAAATTGCATCAAACTTGTAGAAGGTTTGTGGTGCATTTATTAGTAGTCAGTAAACAGTAATTAGTAAAAGGAAGTGATATGTTTGTTCAACAGTCTTGGTAATAAGGAAATTTAATTGTTTTTTTCTTTGCTCTGATGACCCTTTTATTTTTTGTCATGGAGACTGTCAGTATTCTTACTTAATATGGAACTTATTAGAGTTTTATTAACTTAATTAAAGTTGAGTGGCATTTTTATATTTTTATTGTTTAAGTTATATAAAATATTTGAAGATGATAAAATGCTAGCTTTTCTGATACTCTATTGAAATGATTAAAAAATCAAAGAACCCGTAAGTAGTGGTGTTAAAGCATGATTTAGTGGACTAAAATTGTATTTTAAATGTACTACAGTATTTTCTTAGATTAACCCTAGACACATGTAAGATACTAGCATTGGGAATGGTTGAATATGAGTTGAGAAGCTTGGTTAAATGTATCTGTGTCAGCTACATATAATTATTAAGGTGCACTATTGGTTTAAAAATGTGTTTTGGACAATTAGATAGTAATACTTACATGTGATTAAGGTTGAATATTTTTATGTGTAAATAAGCCTTTGTATTCTATATTTAGATAAATATAAAAAATAATTTGTAAAATAATTCCAGTTTGGCTTTTATCATTACATAACACCACATTCATGATAGCATTCAGAGGTACAAGTTTGTTTAGGCAACAGAGGTTAAATATTAGTTGAAAATTTTTATGCAGGTTGTTGAAAACCAATATGCTTCAGTATCAGTTTACTATTTCATTTGAATGACCCTAATAGCACTATGTCAGAACTGCCACAGAACCAGAAATGCCACATGGACCTGCCACCCAGGTGCATTTCAGCATCTTGTGGATTGTCAAAGGCTGGTGCCGCTGAAGGTCTCCACTGATTGCCTCATGCATTGAGCTTCGCATACTTCTTCATGTTTAGACCCACAGTTATTGTAAAAATGATGTAGTCTCAAGTTATTACCCCACCACAAAGGAGAAAGTGAAGAAAGAACTGATTACCAGACCCTGGTTTAAACATTTTACATACTTTGACACAGATAGTCCTGGTACACAGCACAGAGTAGAAACTCTCATTCCTGTTTGGCAGATAAGGAAACTGAAGCACAGAGATTTAATGAATTACTCTAGACCATACACCTAAATATATGGTGGAACCAGGATTTTAACCTGGTAGTCTGAAGGATCAAAAATCACCCTTAATTTAGCAGTTTTTTGAAGTAAGAAGTCCCATGTCTTTGTTACTAGTTCAGGCAGTAAAATAATGGAGACCTTCAGGGGAAAACTCTTATGTAGAGTTTTGTGACCAATTGTAATTTAAAACCTTGTTTTATACTTTTAACCCTTTCTGACTAAACTTACATATTTTTCCCCTAAACCTGCAGGAATATTGAAAACAGAAAAAAAAGTGAAATTGGAAGAAAAAAGCTCAACAGCACTTGGTATGAAAAGAAAGTAATTTTTAAGCAAAAATTATAGCTGACTTGGCAGTGGGAGGACTTGGTCTGTCCCTTACTTTTTACCTGGTAGTGCTCCTTACAGTGTGAGCAATGTTTGAGTATTTATTAATATTATTCATCTTGAGGTATATGATTTCTTTAAAGCTTATCTTACAGTATTATGTGTCAGTGGAGTTTAAAAGGCTTTCACTGAGAACTGTGTGTTTTTAAACATCTTTAAAACTATGGCTATTTAAAAATAAGCTGCCATTTAATATCGTTCAGACTGAGAATGGATGATAAACTAAAATAGTGATTTTTTTCAGGCTATCTTCTTTAAACTACTGTATAACAAAGTTACTAAGTTTTCTGCTGTCTTTTCTAGTGTCTGTGCTATGATGCCTAAAAGTTTTGAAATAATGGATGATAGTCTTAAATATTCTGCAGATTAGCTAACTGGAGCTTGGGTCACTGAGAGGTGATTAAACGTGGGTGATAAATTGTAGGCTAACCTATTCTGAGTTGGAACAATAGGTGAATATATGTAATGGATTAATTTTAAATAAAATATTCTAGGATACTACTTTAACATCCATTTATTTTCTTTAAAGTACATATGATTGGGAAAAAGGAGTAGTTTTAAATTTTAGGAAAAGTTTAATGAAATACTTTTTTTCTTTGTGTTTTTAGTCTTCATTCTTGTACACACTAGGAAAGTATTGAAGGACTGAAGGAATTATTTATGGATTGGTTTAATCTCTTATTTTTCCAAAGTTAAAAGATTATCAAGTTTTTTAAAAATCTTCTAATATATTTTTATTAAATTATATATGGAAATGCTGAGTCTCCTCAGATGGGTCTTAAATTATGGAGCTTATTTCTTGCCACCTCAGGAAGCTGAGTTATATTACTCATTTAAAGATTTTAACCACTGTCTGTGTTAACTTTAAGGTGTCAGGAGTTGGGATTTCTCAGCACTGCTAATGAAGATCCCCTCTTATAGTCCAGTAAGCTTATCAGGAGCTCCAGACTCAGGACAGGAACAGTTTAATTGAACCCATCTACTCTGGGCAGGTGACTGGAATAGCTGATTAAAACGTAAATGCTACTTTTAGGTTAATGGCAGAGGAAGGCTCAGGGTCAGCCATGATTCCTAAGTCTCCCGCTCTTGTTGTTTAGGTAAGAGAGAGAGAAAAGAGAAGGACCGAGAGAGGAGAGAGAAGAGAGACCGAGACCACTACAGACCGAAGCAGAAGAAGAAGAAGAAGAAGAAGAAGAAAGCCAGGCAGCACGGTGTGTGGTGGCCTCCCTCCTTTGTAAACCCTAAGCTTCTTGCAGCTTCCCTCCCTCCTCTGTCCGCAGTGGAGGTGGGACCAGACTGCGCCTGACAGTAGGAGAAGTTCCCGAGCTTTCCTTTCTCCTGCTGATTTCGAACCCTGAGAGCTCTGTTTCACTGGGTCTAGAAACTCAGTGTCTGCGAGTTAATCTTTGCTGTGACTGGCGACTAGAGTCCCCGATGGCGCCCTTCAGTGGGCTGGAGGGATTCCCCACCTCCAAGTGCACGGTGCCTTGGATCAGCTCTCAGAGAAACGGGGGGAAACCGAGTGGGAGCCTGTGGGCCAGCCTGTCTCTAAAGGGTGTCCTACCCTTGTGCCTGTAGCATAAGGAAAACGGTGACAGAGGGACAGTGTGAGGGGCAAGCGGAGATGAGCAGCGGCCATAGAAACGTCGGTGTTGGTGCCGGTGCGCCCACACGCTGCTTATGGGAGTCAGTCTCCCTTGGGAGGACAGGGCTATGTAACTACAGTAACGGCTTCTGCATGGAGATGGGCATGCTCGTTCTTCAGCACTTTTATTGTTTTGGAAGAGTAAAAGAAATTCGTTGCTCAATAACTTAAATCTGCATTTTAGAATTTCTAACATGAATACTTAAAGAATAGAAAATAGGGTATAATTTCCAAAGGGCGGGGGGAGGGATGTAATGAAAAAAAATCCAAAAGCAGACAATAAGAGAAAAACAGTAAAGAAAAATATAATTTACAAAATAAGATAGAAACAAACCTATGTATATCAGTAATTATAAATTATATGAGAGATTATTATCACAGGTTTTAAAAATTCAGTTATATGTTATAGTTAAGAGACAAATCTATGTACATGGATGGAGAAGATAGAGCAGTGTTGAAAATAAAAGTGTGGAAAAAATTATGGTGAGCAAATACCATCCTAGGTAGCTTTGAAAACAGCATGTGAGTTCAGATCCTATTGCAACACTAATAGCTGGGTGACCTTGGATGTGTTACTTAAATTCTATAAACTTCAGAGTTCACACTTCTAAAATGGTAATGATAGTTTCTCTTTTGTAGATTTATTGTTAAAATTGAGTAGGGTAATTGTTGTAAAGAACTCAGTACCTAGCTAGAGCATTTGTAAGTGCCCTTTCCATGTCTGTGCCTGCATAGCATGGTGTTGGGTTATCTGAGCAGTTACTGTGAGGCCATGGGAGGCAGAATAGCATAGTGCAGCTCAGAGTTGCTCTGTGTTCTGACAGCATCAGCATCGTCTGGGAATCAGTGCCATCGGGGAATCAGCATCATCGGGCCACTCCTGACTTGGGGGAGTGGGGTGAGACCCAGGAATCTGTTTTAACACGCTTTCCAGTTTGTGAGCACTTTAAATGTGGAAATCCACTGACTGATACCACTTTTTGGTTAAGAATAGGCTTCTGTAGTCAGGCTGTCTGGGTTTGAATGTGGCCTTTGCCATCAATAGCTGTGTATTCTTGGGCAGTGTATTTAACCTTTCCTCCTCCATGCTTTCATTTGTAAGATAGCTCAGCAGTTGTGGCTCCCTTCACTCTTATGCCCCCATCTTTTGCTTTCGGGACCCTTGTGATTATATTGGGCCGGCCCAGATAATTCAGAATCATCTCCCTATTGTGATATCAGCTGGTTAGCAATCTTAATTTCATCTGCAGCCTTAATTTCCCTTTGCTGTATTGCAGCCTAACATATAGAGGTTGTTACCACAACCCCCAATTTCAAATGGATACCCAGTACACATCAGCACTGTTACTCTACTCTTGCAAATTGGCTTTCTCACACTCTGCCTTTCTTCAGATTTTCCTGCTCTTTCCCACCTCTTATTCCCTAACCTGCCTCAGATGGGGTCCTGGGCCTCACACTCGGTTGAGGAGATAGAAGCCATCAGCTAAGAACCTGCTCATGTTCTGGGCATACGTCTCTGAGCTTCCCTGAGTTTGTCCATCTCCTCCTGGGCCTCCTCAGATGGAGGGCATGTCTGTCTTTCTATTCTCAACATCCTGGCACTTCTCATCCCCCTGCTTCCCAAATTTTTGGGGCATGGAGAGGACATATAGATCTCTTATCTTTAAATGTTCTCCTCTGAACCCGCATTCCCTCTACCTCCCATTTACTCTTCAGCTGCATTTCAGAGCCTCACTTTTGGCACTGGGTTGCTACAGCAGAAGCTTTGAAGTTGTCCTTGATGATGCCGTTCAGCCCTCCCCTCCAGTCCTCGCGTTGCCCTCTAATCTCTAGCTCAGCTGCCTGAGTCATTCCAGTCCCGGCTTCCAGCACCTCGCCGGGAACACTGCTGCAGCTTCTGAGCTGTCTCCACTCTGCTACCGCTTCCTGTGCCCCTTCCTTCATTCTCAGCAAGTGGGCTTTGAAGAGTGAAACTGGACTGTGGCATGTCCTCCTCCCCTTAGACTTTGAGTGACTTTTTGTTCCATTTAGGATAAAACTTAAGCAAAAAAATCTTGAACCTGCTCTGGCTCCTGGCACTCTAGCCTCATTTCGTACCTCTTGCACTCACTGTGCTCCAGCCAGGCTTATAAGATGTGACTTGTACCCGCTGCTTCAGAGCCTTCCCATGTGCCAAGAATCAGACCCCTGGTGTCTTTCATCCCGTCCCATCCCACTGTCCTGTAGGCTGCACGTGGCCTCTCCCCTCTTGTCCGTCTCTCCGACATTCCAACCTGTGGAGCGCAGAACCTTGAGGAATTTCTTTCAGGACCAGTTAATTTCATTCAGAGGATTTTGCTGAAGAATCTGTTGATCAAATTATCACTGTAATAATTGACATGATAGACATGAGAACATCTTTACAAATTGCCAAAAAAAAAAAAGGTTATCGCATACTTCCCTGGAGACATAGCTGTGATTATAGTGAAAAGAACATGTAGAAAACATCAGTTTTTACTGTGGATGCTCTGCAAGCATCTAATGGTACCAGTTAAAACACATGATCTCTGCGATGGTTGTGCTGCTGGGCTGTATTGCCCAGGTGTTCGTGCCAAACCATCTAGCTGTGTGTGAATGAGGAGGGTAAGTGGTGGGTGATCATTTCGTGTACTGAAGCATGACTTTCTCATTCCTTATAGTGACTCTTCTTGATTACCTGGCACTATTAATATTTCTTCATGTGTCTTATATTACAGACTATTCAGACTATGAGGACAGTTCCCTAGAATTTTTGGAAAGGTGCTGTTCTCCGCTCACTCGATCTTCGGGGACTTCTCTGGCTCTGCGAAGCATGTTTACGGAGAAAAACACAACATATCAGTACCCAAGGGCGATTCTGTCCGTGGACCTCAGTGGTGAAAGTACGTGCAATGGTGTAGTGCTTGAAGCAAGTCTTACAATACTTCAGTTGTAGAACTGAGGATAGGACACGTGTTACTGAGGGCCCTCTCTGAGCACAGGGACACAATTTGCAAAGTTACTCTGTAAACTAATATAGAAATTTCAGCATTAGAATTTGGAGCTACTTTTTAATTTATATAAAGTAGAATTGGCATTATACTTAGTCATAGGCCAGATGGCAGGAGGAAGCTATCCGGTTCTACAATATCCTGGTTTTCCCCAGGTGTCTATACATGTATCTGCACATTCTTTTTTTTTTTTTTTTTTTTTTAATTTTTTTTTTTTTNTCCACTTTTTTTTTTTTTTTTTTTTTTTTTTAATCTTTATTGATTTCAGAGAGAGGAAAGGAGAGGGGGAGAGAGGGAGAGAGAGATAAAAACATCAATGATGAGAGAGTCACTGATCGAGCCCGCGACCCGGGCATGTGCCCTGACCGGGAATCAAACCCCAATCGCCTGGACCCTAGGTCGACGCTCAACTGCTGAGCCACGCCCGGCCGGGCCGCACATTCTTTACTACCAGCTTGTAAAGTAGATACTCTTATCCATATGCATAAGCAAACACACAGAGGCTTGTAAGTTAAGTAGCTTTTTGGGCTAGTGTTAAAATTAAAACTCAAGTCAAGGTCGATCTTAACTCCAAAGATAATGCTTTTTCTCCAAATATTTATCTTAGTCTTAAAAATGGACTTTGAATTCTTTTTTATTTTTTTAATTGATTTTAGAGAGAGAAGCGAGAGAGAAACTTTGATGTGAGAGAGAAACACTGATCGGTTGCCTCCCGCATGCGCCCTGACCGGATATTGGACCTGCAACCTGGGCATGTGCCCTGGCTGGGAATCGAACCTGCCACCTTTTGGTGCATGGGACGATGCCCAACGAAGTCGCACTGGCAGTTCTGGACTTTGAATTCTTGATCACAGACACTTTCGTAAACAAAGGTCTGGGAATGTGGTCAGAGTCATGGGTTGAGCACAGGCAGGTGCTAGGCAGACTTACAAAGGCAGAGGCCATGTGAGGAGGTGAAGGGCGCCCTGGAGTTGGACTCCCAGCCTTCCCCATGCGTCCTGCAGGTGGATGATGTTGAGAATCTTACCTTCCAGTCTTCCCAGTGGTGGGAGCGGAGACTCTCCCAACTAGACACCAACGGCAGGGACTGGAGATTAGAGCTCCAGCAGGATAGACCCAGAGGCAGAGAGTGAAGAATCAGGGGTGGGGGTGGTCGTCTCCTGTGAAACTGGGAGAGCTCACCTCCTGTCTTTCCCTTCTGAGTGCCCCAGTGGGGATGCTGGGGTATGTTGTCTTCTGCCCTGTTGCTACCTGCTGACTTCCAGACTAACTCCTCTCTCACTCACTATGGAGAACAGCATGTTCTTTCCTTTACCCTAAAATAAGCACACAGCACTTTTGAGGTTTGTAATTTAAAACAATTGGAGGCGGAGGATTAGGAAAACATCATGCC